GTTTCGGGTTGGGGTCGAAACCAACCCAAACCGAACCGCGCTCACCCCTAATCGATAACTTAAGGTCTTGCTTATCCGAATTAACTTTTTTTTGAGCCTAATATACATGATTAATTACGAGTTATCCAACCAGTCCAACATTTATATACTAATTATGTCTCTATTAAAATTTAATTATTTGACCCAAAAAATAAAAGTTTAAAACTTATTTCTTTATAATCCTTCAACTAAAAAAATATTTTTCGGGGCTTTCCAATCTCCCCTTAAAAAAATATTTTCGTCCTTGAAAATTACCTTGGCTGATCGAAGAATTCTGGATACTTGGTTTTAATCTCATCTTCCATCTTCTAGGTTGACTCGTCAAATTCATGATTTTGCCATTGAACCTTGACTAGCAAAACCTCTCTATTTTTTAATTGGTGCACCTTTCTATTCAAAATCATCATTGGGACTTCTTCATATGACAGGTCTTTTTCTACCTCCAATGTCTGATAACCCACTACATGATTAGGATCATGGATATATTTTTTGAGTATCGAAACATGGAACACGTTATGCACTGTCGTGAGTTCAGGTAGTAAGGCAAGTCGATAAGTCACAACAACAATCCTTGCAAGAATTTCAAAAGGTCCAATGAACCGTGATTTCAACTTTCTCTTCTTACCAAATCTCAATACACTCTTCTTTGGCGCTACTTTTAGAAAAACCTTGTCACCCACTTGAAATTCAAAGTCTTCTCTTCTACCATCAACATAACTTTTCTGTCGACCTTGTACTGTCTTTATTCTTGCTCTAATCTTATCAACTGCCTCAACTGTTCGTTCAATAATTTCAAGACTCAAAATTCTATTCTCTCCAACCACATCCCAATGGATAGGGGATATGCTCTTCTTATAATAAAGAGCTTCATATGGAGCCACGCATATAGTGGCCTAAAAGCTATTGTTGCAAGCAAACTCCACTAATGATAGATGAGTTTCTCAACTACCGCCAAGATCCAAAACTCAAGCCATCAACATATCTTCTAGAGTTTGAACAGTTCTTTTCGATTATATATCCGTTTGTAGATGATAAGCAGTGCTAAATTTTAATTTCATTCCCATGGCTCATTGTAAGCTTGTCCAAAATTTTGATGTGAACTGCGGGTCTTTATCTAAAACAATAGTGACTAGAACTCTATGCAATCTGACTATCTCTCTAATACATAATTGTGCCAACTGTTCCATATTAAAATTTACTTTGATTGGTAGAAAATGGGCAGACTTCGTCAAACAATCAACCACTACCCAAATAGCTTGTGACCTCTTCCTGATATCGAAAAGCCCACCACAAAGTCCATTGCTATGTGTTTCCATTTCCAGTCTGAAATATCCAACGGTTTCAACAGTCCTGATGACATTTGATGTTTTGCCTTGATTTGCTGATAGACAATACATTTCTCTACGAACAGACCAATTCCTCTCTTCATGTTTCTCCACCAAAATGTATCTCGGAGATCTCGATACACTTTCGTACTGCCAGGATATGCAACATAGGGTTGGAATGCATCTCTTCCAATATCTCGTTTTTTATATTTTCATCTTTAGGTATACACAACATTCCTCTAAAAGTCAGCGTGTTATTTGCAGATACTTCAGACCTTATACGTTTGTTTGAACCAACATCAGCCTTAATTCTCTGTACGAATGGATCATTATCCTTTGCTTCCTTGATTTGATCCTGAAAAGTAAGTTGAATCATAAATAGTTCTGTTCTTGCTGTAGTATAAGTTGGCAGCATGATGACTTTCAATCTCAATTTCTCAAAGTCCTTTACCAAGTGTTCTTACATCGTGGGTAAAACTGCTAACTGCGGTCTTGTCTTCTTACTAAAGGCATATGTGACTTCGTTAGCCTTACCCGGATGGTAAAGAATTGTACAGTCGTAATCTTTCACTAACTCCAACCATCTCCTCTGTCTCATATTCAGTTCCTTCTATGTGAAGAACTATTTTAGATTCTTATGATCCGTATAGATTTCACACTTCCCTCCATATGGATAGTGGCACCATATCTTTAAGGCGTGAACTACCGCTACAAGCTTTAAGTCATGCTTTGGATAATTCTGTTCATACTGCTTCAATTATCTTAAGGCATAAGCAATCACCGGTCCATGTTGTATCATAACACAACCCAAACCTTGCTTGGAGGCATCGCTATATATTACAAACCCATCCGAACCTTCGAGTATCGTCAATACAATAGTCGAAACTAATGTCTGGTTCAGTTTCTTAAAATATTTTTCAGACTTTTCCATCTACTGAAACTTTATACTTTTCTAGTCAACTGAATCATCGGACCTACCATTTTTGAGAAACCCTCAATAAATCTCCGATAATAACTAGCTAACCTTAAAAAACTACGAACTTCACCTAAATTGATCGATCTAGGCCAATTAGTTTCTGCTTACACTTTAACTGGGTCTACCTCAATTCACTGGGCGGTAATTACGTGACCAAGGAAACCCACTTGATCGAGCCAAAATTCGTACTTCTTGAATTTGGCATATAATTTCTCTTTCCTGAAAGTTTCGAGTGCTCCTCAGAGTTGTTTCTCATGCTATTTCTTATATTTAGAGTACACGAGTATATCGTCAATAAATATTATGACGAACTGGTCTAAGTACTGATGGAAGACCCGGTTCATTAGATCCGTAAATACAGCTAGAGCATTGGTCAAACCAAAGGGCATGACATTGAATTCATAATGTCTGTAGAGAGTCTTGAAAAGCAGTTTTCGGTATATCGCTTGCCTTAACCTTTAGCTGATGATACCTCGAACCCAAGTCGATCTTTGAAAATATTGTTGCACCCCTTAACTGGTTGAATAACTCTTCTTTTCTTGGTAGCGAGTATCTATTTTCGATAGTCAAGTGGTTCAACTCTCGATAGTTAATGCAGATCCTCATACTCCCATCTTTCTTTTATACAAAAAGTACTGGAGCGCCCCAAGGAGATACACTCAGTCGAATGGAACTTTTTCCAGCAACTCCTCTAACTATAACTTCAATTCTTGAAGTTTTTTTGTACCATTCTGTACAAGCAATGTGTCGAAAAATGCGCTTCAGACCTCTAATCCATTCATCATAGCCTCCGGGTCGGAAACACTGTCAAAAATAGGAGGCTTGTACCTCAGAAACTGCTCAACCACTTAAACGGCTCCAGGTACGAACAGAGATGTGTCTTGCGGTGGTAGAGCATTTTGTAGTGGAGGCACTTGATTATGTCTGCTCAACTCTTGTACCGTTCGCTACAAATCACTCATCAAATTCATGTAGGTAGGTAGTGACATATCCTAAAATTAATATTAATTCACCCGTCACATACCAGTACTAAGTTTAACATGTTATATCTATACTATCGTAATATATATTATGAATTTAACGAGGAAAAATATGCATGCCTTAAAATTTAAAAGTTTAAATCATTACTAAACATTTCATTCAATAATTAAATAAATATGTCCAACAACCCAACGTGAAAATTTTTGTTCTACCAATAATAAATTAAAAAAAAGTAGGAAACAAATCCAAATAAAATACATTCCAAATAACGAGATCTACGTTATAAATAAACCAAAATAATACTGAAAAAATAAAAAAATCCATAGTCACGTTACACCGGATTATTTATTTATTTCCATAAATCCTGACACCACAACAATACCTCATCATCGGCCAACTAACGACGTGTTCTAACATTTGAGGAGTAGGAGAAAAAGGGGTGAGTACAAGAGAATACTTAGTATGAGATGAAAATCATGGTGCAATCCCGAATAAAATATTTAGATCACGTGTCAAAAAAATTATACCGTCATTATATCTTTGGAACCCGATAAGAGCTCAATATATATCATATCTTTGGTACTGAATGGTCGTATCATACATATCATATCATATCATATATTTAACTCATAAGTATAATAATTCATCAACATGAAAAAAAATAAAATTAAACGGTATAACATCAACTGCACCTCATTATCCTGCCTTGATTGATAAAAAGGATGGTTGGAAGAAAAAGCAAGAATTTCACGTTCCAAAATCTTTAATTTCTCTTGTTGCCATAGGAATATGTATGTATGCTTTCTCTTTTCCTTCTCTCTTTGAGACAAATAATGGTTACTCTGTATAGTATTTAAAGTTGGAAAGGAAAAATAGGCCTAAAAATCTACAAAATACTGTGTTTTCCCTCCAAAAAGGTCTCGATCCGGTAATTCATACAATTACAAATCACTTTCTTTTCCATCTAATGGCCCAAAATCAAGGCAATTAAACAGTATTAAAATAAAACTAATTGACACCTTCTCGACCATTCCTACACACGCGGCTTTCTTTCTTTTTTTAAAAAAAAAAATACAAAATCCTTATTTAATAAAAACCAATTCATAACTTACCAATAAACTTACTCTACACGTGTCACCCTTGTATTCTAACTCATTAATTAACAATTTAAGATGATATCTTTCGACATCGATAACTTGGACCTCGCTTATCCGAATTAACTTTTTCTCGAGCATAATATGCATGATTAATTACGAGCTATTCAACGAACCCAACATTAATATACTAATTCTATCTCTATTAAAATTTAATTATTTGAACCAAAAAATAAAAGTTTATCTATTTTATAAAATTTTTAGGGGCTTTACAGGTTGTGTACATGATACTGGTCTTTAGAGGGACTTCTTTAAATCTAGAGCTGCTTCTCGTTCTAGCAGTGCATTTCTTGGGGCGAGATTGGGAGAAGTAGAACTGCTTGACGTTGCTTATTAGAATTCATTAAAGCCCAATTCAAGTAAAAATATATCTATTTACCTCAAGTACATTGATTTCGTTCATTTTGTTTGCCTCTATTTCTTGATTTATTGGATCTCTTTCCATTGTCGTATAGAGTCAAGATTCTCATATTCAACAATCCCGAATCATCAACCAGTAGAATTTCTGACTTTTTATTTATGAACATGGATTCTTTTGATAAAGTCCCTAACCCAACTGCAAATCCAGATAGGGATGCAGATTTTTCAGGGATTCTTGAAATCCATGTTCAACATGCTAGGAACATTCATAACACATGTATCTATGACAACCAAGATGTTTCTGCTAAATTCTCTCTCACCTATAATCCGGACGAGACGCTGTCAACAAGGATCGTCAACGGTGGTGGGAAGAATCCTGAATTCAATGAGGTTTTGATCATGAAAATCAACCAGATCGATGCTGTTCTCAAATGCGAAATCTGGATGCTTAGCCGGGCTAAGAAGTCCATGGATGATCAGCTTCTTGGATTCACCTTAATGCCGATTTCTTCGGTTAATGGACAAGGAAAGGTGACTAAAGATTTTAGCCTGTCTTCTACTGATTTGTATCACTCCCCAGCTGGTACTATCAAATTATCCCTTTCTTTGAGTGCAAATCAAAATGCTCCTCTCGATCACTGTGTAAATTCTTTGTCTGATTCGGTTGCTGATTCGTCTAAAACTTCTGATCTTTTGGTGGATAAAAAGATCCAAGAAGAGTATTTCAGTAAAGACTTTCCTGATATTAACGTAGTCAATGAAAACCAGCAAATGGTTTCAGAATATTTTTCAGAGGAAGGATCTTTACACAATCATGTTATTGAGGCTGAAGAATCCGCAAAGACAGCGTGTGTAAACAAGAATCTTAATATAGCAGAAGAGGGGTTTTTGCACGATCACAAGTGCGTTGAGGCTAAGAAAGCATCTTTGGAACGTGAATTTTGGGATATCGTTCTTCCTGGACTTGGTAAGTTTTTCAAATTTGTGAACTCGATGCCATCACATTCATATACTCCATTATGTTCCAGGGTTGGGCAATGTTTTAGTATGAATGCTTGAAATGAGCCAGTATAGTTCAAATATGAAAAACTAGAAGTTATGATTGGATTCAACATTTTGTTTTCTTATGTTTGATTGTGTCAAAGTTCAATCTATAGTCTTTATATTAAAGATCCATTTGGTAGGACTTCTGCTTGTGTTTCTACTTCTTGTATAAGAGCTTCCTGAAAAAATTACCTTAGATGAGCTATCTCTAAAAGCTCTTCTAACCAGAGCACTTCCAGAAAATTATGTGAATATGTTCAAAAGCAGCTTCTGAGTCTTAGAAGTAACTTTTGGCTTTTCAAAAGCTCGGCCAAGTATTACTTGAATTTCTTGTCAGCTCTGAACTTAAACTTGGAAATATTAGTGTCATGAACTACAAAACCACCTACTCCACTATGCCTTGATTTCTTGTTAATGACATTTTAAATTCTAAAGCTGAAACTAACCTGACATGAACAAGAAAGAACTATTTTCATAAAGCTTGACCTATAATTGTATTAAACTCATTTCTAAATTTACTTAGATATCTGTTTTCAAAGGTTTCTCCTGGCATGTATAATAGAGGAATTATGAGGAAATATTTGCTTGGAAACCTGGAAATGTCGATCATGAATGTATAATAACATAATTTTATGATGTCTAATTCATGGAGTTTCCTTTGTCCAGATTCTGCAGATCCAGCGCCAAGATTAGCAAAGGTGTGAATATTTTGCATTCAATTCTTTTTCAAACTATATTTTGTATATAAAATGAGGATGGACAAATCTCGAGTTGACATTTTGCTTATTTTTGTGGTTAGATCGATCCCGATTTCAGTAGCCTAGCAGAACTAAAGGAACTAAATGAAGATTGGTTGAACTCTTCATCGTGGTGGAAGTCTCCTCCACGTTCTCCTACGCGTTGGGATTCTCCACCCGTCTCTCCTTTTGCACGGGAGCACGAGTCCGTTGAATTTACTTTGAAGGAAGAAGATGATTGTCATGTATGAGGGATCTTCTCTATTTTTTGTTACTTGGCACATTAAGCAAACATGGGTTTTGAAGTCGACTGAGCTAATTTCAAACCTCAAAGGCTCGATAAGCATTTAGTACTACACAATCCACCAAGAAGTCGTAACAACATTGTAGGATTGCATTCTCAGCAACAGTCAAATGTTGATTCGTATCATTTTCTTGATGCCTTTAACCATCTTTATGCAGAATTACTTGTAATGTTATAACTGGTATAAATTAGAAAGTTTGTTCTTGTTTATTTGTTTCTGAATATCACACTCGATCACTCATTTCCTCTTCATCAAACTTGTGGATGCTAAACCTAATATGAGTTTGAAATTTGATCTCATTTTATAGTAGGTTGGTAGTGCTTCAGTGTAACTATGGAAATTGAGCACTCGGTCCATGTTTGATGTGCAACACTAAGCATGACTGAACACACAATGTTTAAAAGTCAAGCTTGTTTTTAAATTACTTCTTTAATTTAACTTACAAAACTTACCTTTCGGAATGTCCTACCAATTTCTTTTTGGGCTTCGAAACATCAGCTAAATTTAAGTGAGATGATATAGAATTAAAGTACGAATGGGGCAAGCATCGACTCTACCTCCATAATTACAACCAGAAACTAAGTCTTATTTTACTCTTTTTTTAAAAAGTAACTTTTAAGCACAACTAAACATATTGTAAGAGACATCTTTACCAGAATATGCATGATGCATAGACGAGCTTCATTGAGTTTGCAAATTTGACATTTAAATGAAATGCTTGACAATTGAAAAACATGCACATATTTTTGAAGTGCTTACAAACGGTTTAAATTATCAATAAATAAAAATAAATTATGAATAAGTGAATAATACTTGTACGTCCCCCAAAATATGTAAAAATAAAAAGCAGTTTGATTAATTATAAATAGTTTATAAACATGAGCTAAATATAAGCAAAATTGCAGCACATTTTTTGCATGCAACCTCTCAATAATCTCCAATCTTCGAGTCCCGCAATAATTAAGACTTCCCACACTATCTTCTATGCATGCAATTGGAAATTTTAAATTCTAACACTTCAAATTTATTAAGCTGTTAAGTTCTTGATGATTTAGAAGACGAATTTGTGAGAAAAAGAATTAATAATAAGATAGTAAAATATATTTCTTATTCCATTTTGGAATTTTAGGACCTGAATAGTGTAAGGTAAAAAATTGCCAAATCCCATGCCATAAAAATATCACAAAAATCAATGTACGACTCAAAGAACGTGACTCCCAAAATTTGTATATCTTTGAGATAATCCTTTAATAAGTATGGAACAGTTTGCTGTCAGAAATCATTGTAGGAGTTTCTTCCATATTTCTAATATTTTACAATTATGGTATGCTGCTTTGCTTTTGCTAATGTAAACTCACATTTCAACTAATAGTTAGAAACTCAAAATGACAAAAAGATAACTCCATACAAAAGCATTAACCCAAAATTTAAGGGGTCGTTCTCTTTGTATTTCAATTTTGAGTTTTGAGTTTTGAATTCATTTTGTATTTTGTGTTTTAAGTGTCCATTTTGAGATTATTGAAAACGCGTTCTTTTTGTCATTTTGTAAAATTATTTCTCAAAGCACTTGCTCCAAAACGCGTTTACATTGTTTTCAATTTTTCCCATTCTCCAGTAAGCCGGAAAACGCCCCCTCCAGAGCCACCGTCTTCTACCTCACAAACCGACCACCACCTAGACCACCAGATCTCAGCATCATTCGAACCCCATGACCTCCCTCTACAACGTCCGCAGATTATTTGGCCGAAAATCAGCCAGAACAACCGCGCTACCACTCACTGTTTCAGCCTACAAACACCGCCGCCGACCACCTTTCAGATCGCGGACCACCACCAATCCACACCTCTCAACAAGACGCATCCAATACTACCATGGGTCACCTTCGTTTATCTCCAGAATAGGCTGATCTTATACAAGCCGCCTTCGATTATCTCCAGAATTGATGCCGTCGATGAGTTTTGAAGCCATGGCTGGATTCGTCTGGGGGTGGGCAATCAATCGGTGGTGGTGTGCGACCTTGGGTGTTGCCGGAGGTTGAGATTCCGACATAAGCATTTTGTGTTGAATTAGTTTTTGAGGATTTTTTTTTTATCGATTTTGGTATATGATTGTTATTTGTGTGGTAATTGAAGAGGGGATTGATGGCTTCACAATGGTATATTAATCCGACCGTTTTGGAGGAGGTTGGCCGGAGTTTAGAGGGTTGGAAAGTGGCAGTGGAGTGTGGCTTGGCAGAAGATAGGGGAGACATTTTAGCTGTTTCTCGTGTTTTCCACTGGTGGAACATTTTGTGAAGAAAACGCCCAAAACGGCATTTTGGTCGTTTTGCGTTTTCTTCATAATTTTTTTTTTGTGTTTCCGAAAATTCGTTTTCGATTTCGAAAATAAGAAAGAGAACACGTTTTCACCATTTTGAAAAATCGAAAATAGAAAACGGTGTGAAAACGACAAAGAAAACGGCCCCCTAAAGCTTTCTAAAGTCATAAACTTTACCTTGTATCTAATAGCCTCATAAGTTTCGTAAACAGCCCCTGAATATAAACACGTGCATTAAATAGACTCCCTCTAGTCATAATTGCCAATAATCTTAAACTTATTCTAGCAATATCCAAGATTTCGACGTCCAAGAGACTTGAAAACAAGCACGAAATTGCTTGTAAATGAAAATTAATAATTTTTTTATTAATTAAAAAGGAAAATGAAGTTATCGTATTTGATTACACTACATAGGGACATCATTTCACTTAAAATGAATATTTTACCAATAAAACCCCCAAACTATAGTCAAAATGTTTATTTTACTGCTCCTCAGTCGGATTCTTAAACATGCAAGATCAAGGTAAAATCTCTATGTACCAAATGTTGTACTTTTTGCTTCAAAGCGTGTACCTGTCCTTGCACTATAATTATCCTAGCTGCTAAATCAAAGCATGAAAATACAATCAGAAAGATCCTTTTCAGTTTCAATTAGACTATTGTGAAGTGCCATTCATTCCTTCCTACCAAATACATCATTAAATATCTTACCAGTATTATACTCAAATTACTGTCACCATGTTATTTTTCTAACCGCTACCAACAATGCCAGAACAAGGTACAATATCTGGAGCAAATGTTGTACTTTCCGCTTCAAATTTGTACCTCGTCCTTGCACTATCAGTATACTAGTTGCAAATTCAAAGCATAAATATACAATCATAAAGCTTCTTTTGGATCACAAGTTAGATAATTAAACAATTGTCTGAGAATATTTTCTAATGGATCTATAATAGATTAAATGAAAGGAAAAACACGGAAACTATTTCAGTTAGGGTTTAAGAAATTTACCAACAGCGCCACCGACTGCAACCCCCCACCGTCACCCCCGCCATACAGCTGTCCTTGCCATCTCTGTCTACCGTAAGAGTAAGATTGGATAGGTATGACTGTATTTATGGGAGAATTTTCAAATTGGCCTCGTTCAACTGGCCTTTTTATAAAAAATGTAAAAGGTTAATTTTACCCATGAAATGGATTTCTTTATTGCAAAACATATCCTTTATTTATGAATAGTTTTAAAAATTAGTTTTTATTTTATATTTATTTATTCGTCTTCATTAGATATTTCTTCTTAATATAATTTTTCTTCAAAAATTTCTTCATCAGTTACTATTTCTTTAAAGTTAACTTCTTCACATTCATCTTTAATTTGATCAAAATCTATAATTAGAATTCTAACTTTCTTTTTTGGGCATTCAATACTTATATGTCATTCTTCATTACAATTCCAACACTTGCATCGTTTTTTATTTAATTATTTTTTTATTATATGATTATATTTTCTTTTAAAATATTTTCTTTTTGTTTTAAAATATTTCTTTTTAAACTTTTTATATTTCTTATGTTTTAATTTTCTTTTTCGTTTATATCATAATATCCCAAATTTCCTGGTATTTCAGTATCTCTACAATAAATTCTATCTTGTATAAATTCTGATTGTTTATAAATCATTTGATTACTACACATTTTACTTATTTCATATTTTATGGTTCTTATTATAAATCCTAATGTATAGACTTCTTCATTTTTTCCAAATTATTTTTCTTTAATCTTATTTTGAAAATAATTATTCCACGGTGGTTGTTCGCTGAAAATCGTACCGCAAGCGCACGGATCGCGTTCAAGTAATAAAGGGGACCTAAAAAGTCCGGATTGTCGATCCCACGAGGAATGTATACTTTCGATTACTCGACTCTAATCAATTTTAATTCTAACGACAAAAGGAAACACACACATTTAAAAACATGATATAAAAAGCGGTAAATAAACTACAATCTACAAAATAAGAAAATAAAGTGTCTTGGCAAATTTCGGAGGGAAAAGTGTGGTTGGAATTTATGATGTCGCTTAACCTATTGTTTCATTGATCTCGAACCAATTATGTGCCGATACATATTACCAAAATGCGATAGTTAGACCCGATTCTCCTGTTTTAGCTAATACCCTCTTTCGAGTGCATATTAACCATAATTAATCAATTCATACCGCATATCTCTATGTCGATACAAAGTTAACCAATTGCATGAATTCTGTGAAAATAGCTCAATAGGTCACTCAGAGTAGGTGTATATCTCTATATCACCTAAACGCGCAAAAGATACACTAATGCAAATCCGAAGCATCGATCATTTCGATCTATTAAATGCAACTATTTTTCAACAATCACATCAACACCTAATTACAACATCTATTGCGTCACCAAAAATGAAGTAATCTTAAACATGATGATCAATACACTATGATTTTGATAACAACTGCATTTTCATCAATCATTCAATACATATATCGATAATTAATGAACCAACTAGGTTAAGTTCGATCCATAAATTCCAACGCAAAGTCTTACGTCATTTTATATATATGAAAACAAAGGAGATTCATAATACAATACGTTACAAACTTGGACA